ACTGCTGATTGGTTGCTGGCTCGTATTTTAAAGTGGATTGCTGATAGGCTAATTCTCTATCCGAACCATCCATCGATCGATCGAACGAAACTTCTCGAATGCTTTCAAGAATATGAAGGCTGCCTATCGGCAGCAATTAACAACTTCTCATTCCGTTCTCTAGTTATCTGTCACAAAGTTTCACTCAAATTTGCAACGCCCCGCGTGGAAATGCCATATTTGTGCCTCGCGGAAAGATAGAAATATGGCGACCGGAAATCAATCAAAACATCTTAATTTACTTCTGTTATTCAAGTGATCGATTTAATCATGATCAAGCACTTTGAACCTTTATATAAACACTTTTCCTAATACGTTAAGTTTCAAGGTTGCTAAAAACATCTCAGGATAAGTGGTGCGTTATAGCCTTGATTTCGTGAGCACGGCTTATCAGCTCAGTTTAAAACCTCTGCCAACCGAGGCATAAACGGTCAAACGGTCTTTTAAGTTATTATGAAAAGCGAATTTGCAATTCAGATTTCATTTTAAAAGATTGGTCGAGCATTTATCACCGTGCAAAAAACAGCGAATATTTAATAGACTGCCAATAAGCCAATGAGATTGAAAAACGGCAATATTTGGAGGTGTTTATGTGACGTGAGAGACTTTACAAAGTTTCGTGCTAAAAACGGTCACGCAGTTGTTGATAATGCGGTATGTTCTTCCTGTCTAGAAAAAAAGCCTCGCACGGTTGCTGATAATGCGGTATGTTCTTCCTGTCATAAATTTTGACAGATCTACTCCACTGCGTCATAACAGATAGGAAGCCTTAAAGACCCCCAAAGGTTTTGGTTCAGGAGACATTTTAGGACCAGGTCGTATGCGATATCGGTTACACCTTTAAACGCATGGTTCAGGTTTCCTTAATATTTATTTCAAGTCATATCATTAGCAGACCACCTCTACTTGAAGAATTTAAAGGGCTTTACATTATAGAAAGTTCGGAAAAACTATGCATCCCTTTGAAGCTTAGTGGTGAGTACCTTAACTAACCTTGCGAATTAGTCTGTATTAGTTGTTGTTCATTTCTAGGAAACAATAACATGAGACTTTCAAATATTAACTGTACATCCGAAAATGTCAAGATTTTGAACGAAGGCCGTGACACGTAACACAATATCCATGCTTTACTCCGTTGGCAACTTATTTGTCGCTCGATGACAACATCTTAACATGTTGCAACATTTGTTAAGAGCATAAACGGTGAGCAGTGAGTGTATCACAGGTACCAAATAAATCTACGGATTTATCTGTTGTGGAAGTACAGGTGTAGTTAAAAAGCATTAATACAGGAATATAGGCTTGGCTTGTTCTGATGAGTCACTGCGGTGGATTGTTGGGAAAACTGTTTTAAAGAATTGCAAAGTGTGGTAGTTGCAAAGTTCATTTTATTTTATGTTAATGG